TGAACGTGGACAAGTCATATCAAAGAGCGAGTCCTAGCTGCGCACTGTCGACGTAGTAGCCTGACCGTAGGCCATGGTTGTGGAGTTGTCGCGTCCGAGGTTGATTCTTGTGTCGCTGCAGAGCCGAACCTAGTCAGCGTGTGCGACGCAACACACAACACACCTTGCATCTGCATCAACAATCAAGATTCCCGCACACTGTTTCTCTCCATCCCCTTCCCACCATGCTTCCGCAAGACAAACGCTATCGCTACGTCCGATGTAGGGATACCCAACCTCTTGTCTCCGATGCTTTCGCGTGCCTGCAAAACCTCCACCACGCGCCCTCCACTCTTAACATCGGCCGCTGGATCGCGCAGATCGACGAGCCTCCACATCTGCCTCCACCTTCGATACTATTGCGGCCGCGGCATCGGCACGACTATTCCCTACGCGAGATCTCATACAATCGGCGGAAGAGGAAGATGGATGTAGACGAGACTACGCCGCGCGAAAGGAAGAAGACCCAGCGTGTTGAAGCCCTAGATGCCGGGCGCATGACGCGCCGGCGGGCCGCAGAGATGGCCGCGGGGAAAGATGCTACGGAGAAAGATGCGGGTCAGGTCGTTCCTAAAGCGGCCCGTGCCGTATCTAAAACAAATCGGACCGTTTCTAGGGATACTCAGACACGAGAGGCCGCTCCGGGGGAGTGTCAGATTGTTTCCAGCGATTCCATCTTCGACGACCGACCCGACTTTTACATTCCGTCGTTTCTCACTCGGACTATGACCCGGTCGATATCGACAAGGTCACCTTCGCGCTCTTCATCACCGACCAAGAAATACAACAAGCGCGTAAGTAAGAAGGAGAGCCTTATACTTATAATACCGCGTATCGAGTTCATCGACTTTAGAGAGGCACAGCGCCTATACTTACCCGCCTTGGTCCAAGACAGCTGGACCAGCTGCGTCAAGGTTAAAGGACTACAGCTACAGGTATACATATCATCACCGTAAGAGCTTCCTAGCAGGGCTAACACAAACTCCTAGGACCCGAGGGATCTCATTACTAGAGACATTCCACTAAATACGGTAGATCTCGACTTAATCCGGTTAACAGTAGCCGACGCTGTTAAGATAGCGGCGAAGTTCCGCTCCTCTTCTACTATAGAGTCGTACTAAATCTCCGTCGTTATTAGGCCTATGCTGTAGCTGATCCGCTGCCTTAGTCTATTCTGCAAATGTAATCCCGACGGTAATAATAACCTTACTATCCTCAATATATACGTTCTCCTTTCCTTAACCGTACGGTCCAGCACTGACAAGTCTATCGCGGCAGCTTAACTGTCGAAATTTATCCTAGCGACCTCTGTCCCTACGCGAACGAGCCTGACCTCTTCCGTGATCTTAATAAAAAGGTTAATTACATAGTAGGGCTGGACCTATTACGGCGAGTGTAGCGTACCCTATAGCGCGGTATCTTCGCCGGCGCGCCTAGTATTAACTAAATAGCGACCTTCGTGAACTTTACGCCGCTGTTTCTACACGTCGAAGTTAAGCGGCGCTATATAGCCGCCGACCCAGCTATACAGCTTGCCGCCTAGATCGCTGCAGAGTTTAACAAGCGTACTCTTAAGCGCTACCCCCTTAATATGCCAGTGTGGGCTCTCGATATCGAGGGAGATTAGTGGTTACTATATACTGTATATGCGGTACCGGAGCCTTGTAGTAAAGGATTTAGCGTGGAGTTTGTAGGTCCGCAATGCATAGGGAATACGTACGATGTAGAAGATATATATACGCTGCTGCGGTCCCTATTGGCGGTTGCAAGTTAGGGGCAGTCTGTGTATCGGCCGTGGTTTAAGGAGAAAATACTCGCGCTCTACGAAGGTTAAGAAGAGATATACGTTGAATGCATTACTTACACGTAGGC